CATTGATTCCCTCCCCCTCACCACCCTTCCCTTAAGGTTTACAGATAAAGCAATTGTTTTCTAGCAAGACAGGACTTGTTTTTTTTTTATTTTCTTTTAAAAGGGTTGCAGCTGTAAGCCTCATTGCTATTTTATTGAACTTGGATGTTACATCAAGCCAAACCCAGAATGTCTGACTTTGCTGTCAGGGGTGATTTCCTAATTGTGACTGCCGGCGGGGTACAGCTTGCAGACCTCCCACAACGGAAAGAGAAGACCGCCATGACTGAGATTAATCCTACAAATTGTCTTCGAGCAGCACAAACAGAATCTCCAGATTTACAGCATCAACGGCAGACGTTCCAGGTCTTAGCTCTTCTTCTGAGAATCTACTCCAGTGTTTTGCATCATGTCTGTGCAGGTTTCGAGCGAAGAAGAATTCAAAGCTAACTCGACCATTTCAGCCTCTATTCATTGTGTCAGATAGACTTGAGGTGCTGAAACTGCTTTGATTTTAAAGAAACTATTGTTTTGACAGCAACCTACAAGCAGTTAAATGAGTGTTAAAAAGACTGCCAAGTCATGCCATGCCTTATTACTCCCTGGATTTTGCTTGGTGTGGTTTATCTGATGTTGAGAAATGGCACATTGAAATCTTTGAATCAATCATTAACCATTTCAGATATTGTAACTCTTTGATGGCCACAATCAAAATAAATGCCTAAAAAAAGATAAGATCGGATTTGCAGTCATTTTTTCCCCAACTATCATTTTCAACTCTAAAAACCCAAGAAGATGACAGCCTTATGAGTCATTACAGGTTTCAAATCTTTTAAACTCTGTATGGACCATCTGAACCATACGAAATACACTCTTATTGGCATAGTTTCAGTTACGTAATGAAAATTACATCATTTTGTTCTCAGCCTCATGTTGTCCACCGCTTCTTGGCACAACCCAGGTGAACTTTTTACCCATCTTACCATACAAAAGTGTTGTATGATTGATAAGAATTTTGTGTGAGTGTTTATTTATATGGAAAAGCCACTCAGACAATAATGGCAGCATTTTGCTTCAACTACCACGATTCCAGAAGCATACTGGAGTGTGTCCAAACAACATGGATAGGTTTGAGGAGTTGTCCGAGGCGGACAGAAAGTACTTCATTCTGTGTGACTCTGYCAGACACTTGACCAAAATGACCAAAACATCCTGGATGGAGATAACACAGACGTTGTGCACAGAGGAATCCGTCTGCCAAAAAGTGTGGTGCTCTATCTGTGACAGATTTTAGGCCAAACAAAATGAGACTCCAGCAGTAAGGAACCCGTGCTGTGACATGTACCGCAGCAGAAGGGGCATCCCAGAATCTTGGCCCAGAGTGTCTCGTAGACCATGAAAGGTGTKTGTGAAAACGAATGTTGTGTAACCACGACCGTGCATCAACTGAAGCGTGCTACATCACTATATCCATGTCATTCCTGGTCTATGATACCCCAAAGTAGTTTTGTAGTCAAGACCACCAAACACAAATCCAACTCAAAACCAAGATCAGAGTGGGACCAAGACAAGACCAAGATTTTGAGGGCTGAACCAAGTCAAGAGACCAAGACAAAGGAGGGCGAGACCGAGTCAAGACCAAGACTGGAAAAAAGCATAAACTAGTGCCCTAAAACATGCTGTACACAGATATGTACAGCTTTTATTGACTAAATATCTTTGTGTGAGGGCCGGGTAAAGAACAATGTTGTACAGAGGTAGATTGCTAATGTTAGCTAGATAGCTTTGACTTCATTTTCTTTGTGCTTCCTTTCTGAGTGACAATAAAAGTTTGACAGTCCCCACTGTCTCTGAAAGCAAAGCACTGCAGAATTTACAAGTCACTGTTCACTTATCCTGGGTGTTATTTTATAAACATATTATTTATGATTTATGCAGTTGCATTGTATTACTGAAGATTTTGCAGACATCTTCTCCTGCTCCCAGACAACCACTGCTCACTTTCTTGGAGAGCCGTGTGCGAGTGAAAGGGGGCAGGGATGGGTGAAAGCGGTAACAAAAATACATAACTAGCAATGACTCACACTTGGATTTGAATCTGTATGTTTTACATCCAATGGAAGCAAAAATGTGAAACTGGACAATGTTCTGGCAAATTAGTGATATTTCTGCAGTTGTAATCTTGACTGGTCTGAGACCAAGACAAGACTTAGCATAGACGAAGACCATCAAAAAGTGGTGTTAAGACCGGTCTTAAATATTACAACACTGCCTCAAAGATACAGTATAAGATAGAACTTTAAACTCAATCCACTTAACCAGTTTCTGATCTCCAATATGTTATGTCACCTGCATCAAAACCTTGATATCTCGGCAGACTTAAAAGTTTGAAAAATCATTAAAAAAGCACCCAAGTATTATAGCCTCATGATCAAGACAGACAAAGAGTGGAAAATGGACGAGCAGAGGCAAAACACAGCAGCCTATTATTAAGGAAAGTTTTGTCCTTCATCAGCTCCCCTCCATTCCTCTATATCCCCCATCTAATTAACAAAGGATGGATGATCAATAGAGGAGAAGCAGTGGAAGGGGATTAGGATTAGAAATCGATGGCTTTGTTTTCTTCGATTTACCAAAGATAAACACTGCCTTAAGACAGTGAGCATGCAACGAAGAGTCTTTTCCTGTGTTTCATGTGTGTTAGAGGGCACATTTCCTCTGTGTGGGACAGACAGACATCTGCTTACAGCTTCTCACGCTCAGTTAAAAGGAGATGCTCTTGTCCCTTGGTGAGACTTGGGAAAAAAAGGGGGATGGATGTTAATCTGATTTAGTGGCCATTTTATACAGCGGTCTTCAGCCAAGCCTCTAATTTGACTGTCTGTGGACTTTTTGTTCAACTCACTACATAACAACACAGTCAGGACAGCAGAGGCTTGGGTGTTAAAACTCTGTGTGGGAGATTCAGGTTATGTAGCACAGATCAGAGACTGAGTACTGATTCACATCAAATCATCGTCTTAAGTCTCCGAGAATAGCTGGAGATGACTGATGAAGAGGTAACTGAAAAGAAAAGTGATGCTCGGAAAAACCTGAGTGGGCTGGAAGGAGAGAGGCAAGGCATTCTGGGTAGGTGAGGCTTCACCTCCCACACAGGGTTTTCAAAAAACATACCCCCTGCTTTGATCTGTCTCTGCATTCTCTCTCTCTCTCTCTCTCTCTCTCTCTCTCTCTCTCTCTCTCTCTCTCTCTCTCTCTTTCTTTTTCGTTTCACGTGCATACACACAAACTGCATACTCACCCTGTTCGGTGAGGCTTTCACCCCTTTCTTCTTTGAAAGAACAAAGGCATTTGTTTATGCTCCCTGCAGATGAAAGCTCAGCTTTGAGATGACCCATTCACCTTTGGTACAGGTGCTGCCACTCCACTTTTTTTAAATGAAATTTAAAAAACAAAAACAACTGATTATTTCATCCTTGCTGTTATAGATCTGTGATCACTGGGCTGAAATTATTCCTATTCAAATTTGTAGATTTCTGATGTTTGGATGGAACCAAATAGTGAGAGAAAGAGCATGGAGGACCAAAAAAAAGAAAGAAAAATAAGAAAGAAAAATAAGAAAAACAGAGTGAGATATTTATACTGTCTTCAATGCGTCTGACATGCAAGAAATCAGCCTGCGGCGGACAGCTAGAGCAGCATAATGTGGAAATTTGGCGAACAAGCAAGGAGGCTCCATCCACATATATCCAAGCTGTTACTATGTTTCTACTAAATGAATGCAAACATTTTAAATGKTTTTAGAAGATTCTTAAAAAAACATACATTGGGGATTATTTTTAAATGACATGGTTCTTCCCAAACTTCTTAGCTTCTGATCGTCTCTGGCTGAGGTATACAATATTTTTAATTAGTTATGTAATTAATGACACCATAAGCAGATTTGACAATCAATTCAATGTTTTTGTACTCAAGTTGCTCATTTTAATCTTTTGAAATTATTCTATTAAAATACATTATTAGCAATTGTCTTTAAATTTATTTTAATTCCAGAGATCATCTCAAGACCCCTCCCCCACTTGGTGTTTTACCGCTCATTAGGGTCCCAAAGATTGCTGTAAACTAAACTGAGACTAAATGATCAACGTGATGAAGTGACTGGTGGTCAGATACAGGGGTTAGACACTGAAACTGAAACACCCGTCATGTTAGTGTGGGAGGTTACCTGGCTAAATTGGACCAGCCTGGTGGCCAATCTTCATTAATTGCACATTGCACCAGTAAGAGCAGAGTGTGAAGGTTCAATTAGTAGGGTAAGAGCACAGTTAAGCTCAAAATATTGCAATGAACACAACAGTATGGGTGACATACCAGAGTTCAAACGAGGACAAAGTGTTGCTGCACATCTTGCTGGTGCACCTGTGACCAAGACAGCAAGTCTTTGTGATTTATCAAGAGCCACATTGTCCAGGGTAATGTCAGCATACCACCAAGAAGGACGAACCACATCCAACAGGATTAACTGTGGACGCAAGAGGAAGCTGTCTGAAAGGGATGTTATGGTCTAAAACCAGGTTTTTCAGTTTCATTGTCTAACCCCTGTAGGTCTTCAGCGAGGCACATGTTTGACTGGATTAAAATAAAACTAAAGTTTTCATTACAAAAATTAATTCAATTCTTGTTAAACTTTAGCTTGGCAGATTTATTTTTAGGGATTTTCAAAGAAAGTAAAGTTTTGGACATCACTTTTGCTGGAGTTAAGTGGACCTCTGGAGCGTCCTTTGGGAAGAAAATAAGGAAGAGGTGATTGAACATGCTGGGGAAGGAAAGTGTGTGTGTGTGTGTGTGTGTGTGTGTGTGTGTGTGTGTGTGTGTGTGTGTGTGTGTGTGTGTGTGTGTGTGTGTG